ACACCGTATATCTGATGCGTCTAATTTTTCATAGGTCCTTTGCGCTCGTTATAGAGTGATAAGAGGTCTTCACATTAACTATTAAAGGTAATCCTTTTGCCATTTTTTTTATTTTTAATCGGCGCTTGAGACGTAAATGATTTCCATTTAGTCGAAACCTCTAATATTCATTCAATCTTCTCTTCATGTTTCTTTGCATTATTATGCTTGTGTCTATTGTTGCGCGGCATTATTGGCACCTTTCATCCCAAATATGACTCATTACAAAACATCGTCAAGGAGATAATTAACCATGTTCCTTTTGAAGCTGAATGAGTTGAAAAGATGGAAGTACCTTAATCACCCGTAGGACCAATGCAGAACATGCCTTTTATAAAGTTACAGCATGTTGTCATGTTACATTCTTGATTCTACATATCGTAGGCTCTTATATCCGAATGGTCCCATATTGTTACTCCATACTAATCATTTACGCATTACATCAAGATTCTTATATAGCGGCTTCCCAATGGACCGGGGTTAATAGTTGCCCCCGGTTATCACACGATAAATAATTAGTTCTTCAGAGACCGATGTAATACATTGATTTCATAAATTATCGTCCATGCAGTAGGGTGAAATGGAATATCAGATTATAGGATTTTCCTCTCATCAAGATATTGTTGGTTGATACTGGGGTTCGCTTCTAAATTCAGTGATCTCTGTACCATTGTCCTCGGTCTGAACGAGATTGTTTCATTTGTTGTTGGGATCCTTTTCTTCCTACAGGAAGCAAGGAAATCTATTTTCAGCAATATGGACGATGGAATATTGATCGGATTTGGAGAGATGATGTCTTACCTTGTCGTGTTTATCTTCGACACTGGTAAGCACATTTTAGATTAAAGTTCATTTGTTATTCACCACTTCAATATCTTAAAGAATAAAAGATCTAAAATGGTGAATCGCTTACATTTTGCAAGTTAAATGATTCTGTCTGTTAAGATGCATAATCTGGAACCCTGGGTTCACTTTTACCTTTTTCAGTTTTCTTTCCCGTTGACAAACCAGAAAGAATAGCAATTTCGTGGAGATTAAAACACCTTAGGAAGCTGTATGAGATACCAAGCAGTTAGAAACATATTAATAAGATGTTTTGATAGTTGCGTGTTTATATCTTCTAAATAGCATAGGGATGGTATACACACATGTTAAGTTCAAATGTTCAGTAAACGAGAATCGAAGAACTGGGGGAAGTTAGGATACCTTCGTACCAAATGCCACGTAAGGGTATGTTCAGGAGTTAGAAGTGAGGTTAAATAAAAAAAAATTTCTTCCCCATCATTCGGATGTTTAAAATAAGCAAGGAAAGAGAATTGAAGCTTAGATGATCTATGTTGAATTGTTGATGGATTATTACTAATTTTTCATAAACTTTTTATTTGTGAAGTTGATTATAAATATTTAATTTCTTGACATTTAAAAGAGAAAATAATGGAAGGCATAGTAATGAATTAGCTTATTTCTTCATCAAATGCCATCGTGGAGGCTTGGAAACCAACAGGTTGGAAATATTTGGTAATAATACTACTGCGCATGGAGAAAATTGTGATGAAATATTTCCTTCCCTTTCCTAAGCCTAAGCTTTCTCTTTTAAGATTCAATATACCATTGGAATCCCAATGTAAATTAATTGGAAATTCATGAAATATTTTGTAGTGTGTTGGCAGCAAAAAATCTTGGCGACGAGGCTTACAACAATTTCATGGATCACACCTATCTAGCCGACCGTAAAACAACAATTCGCGAGTATCTGGCAACAACGGGTTCTGGGATCATGGAAGAGGAACCTCCAGTTTCCCTCAAGCAACGCTATGGTGGTTGATAATCTAATCCAAATTGTAGTTGTCCATTTGCTGCAAAAATATGGTCTTTCTGATGTGTTGGGTGGTGGCAGAAAGAAAGATGTGTTCGCCGTCATGATGTTTATGGTTGATGGAACATTCTTGGCCTAAATATACTTGTGATCTTTCTTGCATGAATTTTTCCCTATGTTTCTTAAATTTGATTGATTACAATTAGGTTCTTCAAAAATTTTGTTTAGTTTTCGTCACTCCTTCAGGGGAACCTCTTGCAGAGTATTTCGGCAGAGATATAGGAAATAGGATCGCATATCAAATAATCCAGCAAACCAGCAAAATGACGTCTTCAAAGTTAAAAAGCGAAATGAAAAGAAATAGAAAGGGATAAAATATTTTCTTGCTCTCAATTTATTTGAGATTTTATTTTTCTGAAATTTGAAAGACTCGTGGGAACAAAATCGTTAGGTTAAAAGCAATATTTTTAAGATTAGGCAGGTGATGGAAATGATTGACAACATGCATTAAACGAATCCTGCACTGTAGGCTTTAAGGTTACTTGAGATCTTTTACCCAAAAAGATGCTATTATTATCATCGGCATGCAATTTAATTTGCTTCCCTTAAGTGAGAGGATCAACAAACCCATTAATTAATAGGAGTTGGGTTAGCGAAAGAGGCTAATTCCTTGTAACATACTACATTCGGTCCTTAATATAAGATCCTATTTGACTTTTATTTTGATCCTAAATATAAAACCCCAATCTACTTTGTCTCTCATATTTATACATTTTTTTCCAAAGTAGCCCTTCTAACAATGATAGTTTTAGTCAATACACTTGATTAGTAAGGATATTTTAGGAAAGACAACACCTATTTAGGACAAATAACTAACTTAGCTTACTTTCTTAATCTCCTCAAATTAGTCAATTGGCTCTTATAATTAGGACCGGAGGTAGTAATAAACTAGTATTTGAATTCTCATCTAAAGAGATTCTTGATAGTGCCTCGAATAAAACTGCCTTAAAAAAGAAGATACCTATACGTAGAGGAGAGGAAAAAAAACCAACCCAAGGATTAAAAAGGAGAAAGATAATAGGATACAGTACATCAATCTTCAACCAGGATGCACTAGTTAAGCAGGCAATGCATCATTAAAACATTCCTTCTTTTTCTTTTTCTTGGTTTTGCTAGGAGTCGTTAAAACAACCAAAAAGTCACTTTCAGGCCCAAAAAATTTGTTCGGAATGACTTTTGAGAAACAAAACTCATGGGCTAAAAAGTCAGGTTGGAATTAAAACTTTTTTTTTATTTTTTGTTTTTTTTTCTCTTGAACCTTTCTAAATTGACTTTTCAATATATCATCCAAATAAATTGATAGATTTACTTTCTATAAAAATTTATCCAAATATAAATTACATTGCATTAATTGACTCTTACCTCAATTTCAATTTACAAAAATAAGTAAAAATAAAAGTTGCCGTTGAAGGGTTTCCTGCAAGGTGCGTTACAGACACAGCCATTAAAGAACTAAGCTAATTCATTTTTGGGCCTCTGAAGAATTTACTATACCTTCAGAAAACGATTAGAAATATTAATATCGATTTTGATCATGTGATGCCTTACTCGAACACAATTGAGGAATGAAGCCTAAGACAACTGATATTTGTATTCAATTATATAATTTTTCCGCTCATCTGCTATACTTTTCACATATCAATATTACAACCTGTATCCTTTTCAAGTTCTCGGATAAGTAGTTCCATCATCTTCTTATACATAGGCATATAATGATCATTTATCATCGTTTTAGAAAGTCTGAGCTTGCTGTACAGCTCTCTAGGTGTTTCATATAAGCAGACATGTTCCTCAACGGGATCATCTGAAGCTGAATTTGAATCATCTGAGGAAGGAGGTACAGAGACAATATGCATGATTCTGCCTGGCGGGTAAAAATGGTGGTTGTCCAAACTGTCAGACGTTGTAATTGGGTTACTCCCTTCAGCAGCATCAGCAAGCTGAATCTCTTCTTCCGTGATCTCTTTTGCTGCAGCTGCCTCTTCCTCCTGAGCATGAATATTCAGGGTATTATCCTGTTTTTGAAGCTCCTTTTCCAGTTCATACCACAATTCACCTTCGGTAATGTCGTCTGTGGTAGAAGTGGTGATATCTTGATTTGCATGAATGAGTTGTTCCTCTTCATCAATGTCATCGGGGTCCAATCCACCATTTGATGAATCATGTCCACTTGAGATAGGATCTCTCGCCACCTCTTCAGTAAGAAGAGATTCAGTTGTTCCCTCAGATATTACAGCGGCTTCACCTAAACTCTCCATTTTAGTGTTAGGAGATGGGCCAACACTTCGGCGGCGTGCACTCATGCAAGACCATGATGACAATGATGAGCGAGTTCTGACAACAGCTTCAGCAACACTTTGAGCACTCTTCATCACAACCTGGAAATAGAAACAGAGTCTAAGTCAAATGGTAAATTTCCAAGTTTATTTTTTAAAAAAAAAAAATCCAAATTTTCTATCACAATGCCAAATACAGACTACAGAGATCACGGCTACCTGAGTGCCACTGGTTACTGGCCTAAGAATGGCACCTGCACCAGCTACCTTGGCTTTTGCACTAGATATTGATGGGAGACGGGATCCAAGTGCAGTTGCAGAGCGATAGACAACATTCAGGACCTTTGTGTGCTCAACTTGATCCCGCAAATCATTCGACCAAGAAGATGCAGTAACCTAATGACAACCAACTTGAGTGAGGATCAAATGCATTTTCTATCAGATTACACCCAAACTAATGTAAAAAACATTGACATCATCTAGAGTCTTAAGAAGTAATTAGAGGCCAAAGCACCTCAGAACGTAGATCATCAACAGAAGAAGTAGAAAATGTCGGCACCAAGTCAGAACCATTTATAATTGTAGTGATAAAGTGCTTCCCTGATTCTGCTAACTCCCATGTCATGCAGGCAGCTGCAAGGGTGGCAATTATGATGCAAAAGATTAAATATTTTGCCATTTTGGTAGTGCTTAGTACAAGAAGACAGGCAAGATTCTTATATTTAGAGAAAATTCAACAGCATAAAGTGAATGCCAAAAACAGAAATGCGTAAACCATTTAGTTTAAAATGAATGTATCATATGTAGTGTAAGATTTCATTCTATACTCATGTTCTGTTTCTGGGCTAAAAAAAAGTAACTAAATTTTAAACCTGAAGTACCATCAAAATAGGCGAGCTTGCTGTTAGTCTGTCACAGATAGTGCTCAATTTCTCAGATACGTCATCAGGCAAATGAGACAATATGTCAAGCTACATGGATGTAGTACATCTCACTCTTGCAAATCACAATACTTATTTTTGTTATCTTATGCTTGTAAGTCACGATAATGACATTTATTATAGTAACTTGAAAACTGAAAAGACTACCAAATTGATTATAATAATTATGGATAATGATCACCACCAACATATTTAGCCGTTGCAACATTTTAAGGAAAATTTTATTTCATTTGTGCAGTTAGCTAGCAACACAAATTCCATGGAGTATTCAGCAATTAATCAAATCTGAAAAACGAAAAGATAATGTGATGAAGTTATAATGTACAAAAACTACAGAATTAACTCACAAACCAGGTATAAAGAAAATGGTAGCTTAACTACATGCCTGGGGCAAATGTGACACAGGTGCTTGAGGAGAACTCCTTTTGTTCCCTAAGAATGTAGGTTAACAATGCTGCAGTACCACCACCTAGCGAGTGCCCAACAATCTAAAGAAGATAAAAGGGCAATTGTTTAGTGAAGTCAGTTATACAGGCAAGCATAAAATAGATTCACATGACAACGAAAATTAAAAATTAAAAAGTGAGAGAATATAGCATCTAGAGCAAAAATACAATAAGGAAACAAATATATGAGAAATAGAATGCAAGAATCTTGGCTACACTTTTGTTGTTCATTTAGCTTTCAATTCAGTATAGTGTCGTTCCACTGTGTTGCTCATTGTACAATGAAAGAATATACCTTTAATTTGAAGTCAGGATATTCGCCAAGTGCCTTAAGTAGAGAAGGAGTGCAGAGCTTCGCAATCCAACGTGCAGCTGCAACCATGCCACAATGTGCATATCCCAAAACTAAGTTGCTTATGCCACCATCATTCAAAACTGAGTGATGGAAAGGGACCACAGCACCAGTTGCAGCCGTCAATGTGTCTTTAATGCTATGAGTACCTCGAATTAATAGAAGGAAACATTTTGATCTTGTATCACATATGATTGTGAAAGCAGGCTTCAAAAGCTGCAACAAGAATACAGGGCTATAAGTCAGTTTTCATTTACAGTGAACATAAGAATGATGAAAATCTAAAACAAACTAGTATTTAGAAAAATATATGGTGGCTAAATAAGAAAGGAAAAATAAAAGCAACAGAAACATATTTCCCACAGATAATAGAACATGCTTTACAAGAATTATTGATTACTGACTAGTAAATGGATATAGATTGGCTGTGGAAAATGGAAATATATCCATAATAATTCTAGAATTAAAAGACATGTCAACTCTCAACAATGCATCAGAATGCAAAGCAAACCTATAGATGATACAAACCTACAATAGCAACCACCATTTATCAAACATTAATAAATTTTACCTTTTTCCCCTTTCTACCCACGGAGGATTTTCTTCTATCAAAATGTATGATCCTCATTCAGCGATAAGGGAATATAAATTACACATTTGTAATCACAAGTTATCAAAGAGACTAGAGAGCAAAATGCACGATTAGTCTAACAGACAAAATTCTGTATGTGGAAGTTAAAAGATGAAAATGGGGGGAAAAATGGGATTAAGAAAAATACTGGAGGAATCAGATTTGGACCTCAAGATCTGGATGATCTAGATGGTTACACACTCTCAATCCCTTTATATGCCAAAATTAATGCCCTTTTTTTTTTAACACAAACATATTCAACAACCAACTAGGGTATACATAAAATAGGTAAACACTCCTCTAACAGAATGAATATAGGAGTAGCGTTTTATTTATATAATTTGATCCATCATGGTATTAAAAAATAAAAATTGTTTATACATTCAACCCTTGAGTTTATTTCAATTTACTCTCAGATCCCCATTGTTATGTAGCCAGAAACCCGCTTCCAACACAATGCTTTAGGCAGAGGTTTTCGTGACCTCATTAGGACCCTAATGCCGCCCGGCAAT